AAGAAGGAAGTTGAGGCAGAGAGGTTACGTCACTTGCCCAGGGTCACCGAGTTTGTGAGCAGCTCGGGTGGCAATCAGAACCCAGAACTGAACCCCAAACCCATGTTCAGAGGCGACCTGACCTTGGTTCAAATCTAAGCTCAGCTGTTTGGCAGCTGGGAAAAGCCCTCACAGTCGGGGTTACATGTGCTGAGATATCCTCCATGCCGGCCATGGACCCCAGAGGAGAAACACAGGATCTGGCATTGGCCACAGCACACTGGCAGAACTCCAAACACAATATTCCCATCCCTGCCTGGTAGAGGCCCAGGCAGAGGGGCCCAGTGGGTGCTGGGAAACTGCCAAGCCCCCTCTCCTCCCCAAACCAGGACTCTGCCCATTCCCCACTACAAATGTCCACAGTCCTGGCCTGCTCTGTTGGCCATCAGCAGCTTCTAATGTCTAATGACCAGCTCATCAAAACAGCAGGATGGAGTGAGAGTACAAGGGTCTCCCTGCCCTAGACAGGCTGGGTGTGGGGGAGCATAGGAGGGTGGGCATGCAGAGGGAGGCAAGACCCAGAGAACCCCACCCTGGCTGGGGGGTCTGGAGAGCCGGGTGCGTGCGGGGAACTACCTGTTCTGGATGAGTTGAGTTGATTCAAGCAAACCCCTCTCAGGTTCCCTATCTGAGTATGGGGGAAGATGGGGTACTCTTAAAAAATCTTTGGGGGTGGAAAGAGGGACATGGAGACAGAGGACCAGAGAGGCAGATAGGCAGAAGGGCATAGAGATGGAGGCTAGAGCACCAGAGGAGCACAGAGATGGAGGCCAGAGGGTCAGAGGGGCATTGTGGGGGTAGGGAGAGGGCAGGAAGGCGGCCAGTGAACCAGAAGGGCATAGGGTCTAGGGGGCAGAAAGGCACAGGAGGACAGTGGAGCCAAGAGACAGGGGTCCCAGACAGGGGTCCAGAGAGCGCAAAGCCTAATAATGGGTGAGGAGCCAAATGCCACAGGGAATGGAATCTGGGGCTCACGAAAGACAGGACATGGAGACTGGAGAGCTAGAGGAGCCTGAGGGCAAAGGGACTGCAGAGAGAGCTGAACAAGGGGCCTGTCTCCTACCTGCCCCTCTGCCCCTCCAGCCCCCTCGGGCCCTGGCTCACCCAGGCAGCGGGTGCCATCAAGGCTGCTGGAAAAACCACGGGGACAGGTGCACACGTAGCTCCCGGCTGTGTTGGTGCAGTCGCCCCCAGAGCAGAGGCCCGGCACACTGAGGCACTCGTTCACATCTGTGTAGACAGACATAGATCACAGCCCTGCCCCCACCAGCCCTAGGCCACCTCCTCCTCCTCGTGGGGGAGCCTGGGCCACCCAGAGCACAGTGGAAGTCCCCTTCGCCATCACCCACCTTCACACTTGGCACTGTTCTCACTAAGCCTGTGTCCAATTGGGCAGCGACACTCAAAGGAGCCCACAGTGTTGATGCAGCTGCCCCCCTGGCACAGGCCTGGGACAGCCTGGCACTCATCCACATCTGCAAGGGATGAGAGGCCCGTGAGAGGGAGGGACCAAGGCTACAAGGGCTCGCCCTCAGCCCTGGCTCCCAAGACCTCCTTCCCCACTTGCTAACCCCTTTACTCACCTTGGCAGGCCCCGGTGCGGACATTGGGAATGAAGCCACGGCGGCAGGGGTGCGGCTGCGCTGGGCAGAGCTCACATGGGAGGCCCCAGGCACGGCCCACAGTGGCACAGCAGAGTGCCTTGGTGCAGACGAGGCCTGTCAGCTGGTGTTGGCACCCCTCAGGGCCCACTTGGCCAAAGCAGGGCCCAGTCCGGTAGTCTGTGGGACATGGATATTGGCAGCTGGCCTCAGGCTGCCCTCACCCCAGAGCCTTCTGCATCTCCATTCTTACAGCTGCAGCTTGGGCTTCTGCCTCCCTTGCCTAGACCACTGCAGCAGCCACCTCTCCAGCCTCCCAATGCACCAGGCTTTTTCCTAACCACAAGCCTTCACTCATAGTGTTCCCCTTCCTTACCCAACTCGTATTCACCCCTCAAAACCCTTTCTCCCCCAAGCATTCCCCAACCAACCTCCAAGAGAGGCCAGGACCTCCAAGCCCACAAAGCCAGGGCATGTCTGGAGATCCCCAACACTCCCCCAGGCTCACCCTTCCTTCAAGCCTGGGCAGGGACCCATGGATGCCCAGCTGGAGTGCCTGTCTTACCCCTGAGCACATGTCTAGCCCTGCCAAGTCTCCCAGACTTTTGGATAGACCCAGAGTCTGCCCAAATGCTCTGGACCCATAACACCACATCTCTGACCCCTGTATCCGGGCGAAGGTGGTCGCGTCACTCCCCCCACCGCCATGTGTAGGCCCAGATGGGCCTTCCTGGCTCCATCCTCCAGATGGTTCCAATCAAGGGGCTGGCACTGGACCAAGGGAAGCCACTCCCTGAACGAGAAGCCAAAGCCAGCCCCGCAAAGCCCCGTATGAAGGAGGGGCTTCACAGAGACCCCTGACAGTCCTGACTCCCTAAGCCAAAGCACCGTTCCCAGAATCTCACCTGATTCACCCAGAATCCTGAAACCCTACTCGTTCCTGTCTAGGCACCCAGCCCTACCTCTCTCTGGGGCCTTCACTGTCCACCACCCACCCCAGACCTCTCTTCTCTCACCCTCCCCAACGCCCCTCACGCCCCCTCAGCCAACCCAACTGCTCCCCCTTTGTCAGCCCAAATCCCAATTCCATTTCCTGGTCAAATCTAGTTCCCCAAAGCCCACCCTCAAACCCAGGTAACCTGCCAGCCCTTCCAGCTTCTGATTCATCAATACATCCTTTCCAACCCCGCTTCGGCTGTGGATGCACTTCCTCCCCAACCATCACCCCTACACACACTGGAGTCAGTCCCAGGGCCCTGCCCATCTCTGCTGTCCTGGGACCCCCGACCATGCTAGGTACTCTGATGGCTCCTGCCGCTGAAAAACTCACCAGCCCAGGTACCCCCAAAGCCACCCACTCCTATTCACTTACTCCTTCTCAGCCTCCTGTGGGTTCCATTTTTTCTGTGTGCCCTTGTCATGTTCCCTTCTCTTCCCCCAGAACCTCAACCATCCACTTGTCTGCACCACCTTACCCCCAGTTTTCAGATCAAACATGGGATTTGTCCTTGCCTCCACCCCCCCTTTTCCCCGCACGTCCAAATTTTAACAAAACATCTCTGCTTCCACTGCCTTCGTTTTGGCAACAGTCTCCCAACAGGTGATGTCACCCACCTCAGCCTGCGGGATCATTGGCTTGTCCATCTCATGAACTCCGACTTGTCCCTTCCTCCAGGAAGCCCTCCCTGATTCCCTTCCATGGAGCAGAGGGTTTCTCTGCCCTTCACAGCAGCACGGGAGAAAGGATGGAGGCCAACTGGACCGTCCCAGGGCTTAGCCATGTCTCAGAGGCTGCCAGGAAGCCCCCCTTCCTCCTCCCAGGCCCTTTCCCCATGACCAGCTTGGTACCTTTCTCACACTGAGGCCCCATGAAGCCATATACACAGGCGCAGCGGTTTGGCCCAATGCAGCGGCCCCCATTGTGGCAGCCGCGGTCGCAGATGGCTATGGAGGGAGAGGGGAGGGTGGCCTGAGGTCCCCCAGCAGCAGAAGAAGCTGGGTCCCAAGCAAGCCTTTACCCAGGAATCCCCACAATCTGACCCGGACCCAATGATAAGACAATGACAGCAAATGTGTCCCCTCCAACCCCTGGTCCCAGAAAAGTGATCCATTGGCAGTGGGCAGTGGGCAGGTGGCAGCAGAGACCCACCCTCTGGGATCCCAGGTCTAGGTATGTGTGGGAGATACTCACGCTGCCCACACACAGTGCCCGTATAGCCCCTCTGGCACAGGCAGGACTCCCCTCGGCAGCTGCCCCCATTCATGCAGCTCACACTGCACCCTGACCCTAAGGATAGGAGAAGGGACACACAGTAAGTTGGTGACAGGCACTGCAATGCATGTGCAAGGCGGCAGGACTCAGTGTGCCCGGCCAGCTCTGGTCCTTCAGCAAAACCAGCCTGAGCGCCCAGAAGGCTCTAACCTTCTCCTACCCCCACTAGGGGCCACCCCCGCTTACCTTGGCTCACCCCGCAGCTGGGGGCCAGCTTCCCATTGGCACAGGTGCACAGGTTGGGTCGGGAGCAGAAGCCCTCACCACAGGTGTGCCTACAGACAGCTGGCGGGGCAGAGAGGGAGACAGTCAGGACCAGGACCCAAAGCCTGTGCCATTCCCACCCCATCAGTGCTGGGCAGAGGCTCCAGGTTTCAGCTCTTTGGGCCAGAACCAATGAGCGGCAAGAATAGAGGTGGAGATACTGGGGCGCTGGCTCGGGTCGGGGGCTCTCCCAGGGAGTGGATTCAGATTCTAGTGGGGGAACAGACTGAGAAAGAGAGAGATAGAGACAGGCACAAGAGAGACTGAGAGAGAATAAAAGAGGGACAGATACAGAGACTAAGAGAGAGAGATGGGGGTAGAAACTGAGAGGAAAAGAGAAGGACTGAGAGAAAGGGAGAGACAGAGATAGGGAGATAGAGACACAGAGAGAAAGACAGAGTTAGAGAAACCAAGAGAGGAAGAGACAGAGAGACAGAGAAAGGCAGACATACAGACAGGCAGACAGACATTGGGAGATGGTAATGCAAAGCAGATGAACGTGGCAGGGTGGCCTGGGAGCCTGAGGACATTGGCAAGGACCATTTCTGCAATTCAGTCAGACACCTCTGGCCAAGGCCACCAGTACACAGAGCTGGACTTGCACGCAGGTAGGAGAGTTACGCCAGTGTTCCCTGCCTATGACCCCACCTCCACATAGCAGCGGCACTTACGCATGACACACTGGTTCCTGCCGGGCAGCGTCCTCCAACCTGGGCAGCAGTAGGCGTGGAAGCGGGAGCCACACACATTAGGCCTTGGGGAGAGCATGGCATGGCTGGTGAGACCCTGCTCAGCTGGATATCCCTTGGGCCTCATCTCCTCCCACCCAGGACAGCCCAACCCAGCCCACACCCCAGGGGCCTCTCAGCATCCTGGGTACCACATACCCCTGCAAAATTCCTGGACTGCCACGCCTGCGCACACGTCCGGGACCTGCAAGCTCCATGGCCCCATCCCAGCGGCCCTGGACACCTGTCAGGCATGACAGGACCATCCAGGCCAGCAGGAGCAGAGCCAGAGGTCCCCAGGCCATGACGAGGGCGCCAGCCCCTCTCCTTGCCAAGCACAGACCCTCCAGCACCATGATGTGTCCCTTGGAGGCTGCAGACACGAAGCAGAGTCAACCCCTTAGCCATGGGGCACCCCGGAGAACCAGGAGCAGTGCGACAGCTGCCTGGGGACTGTGGGAACCCAGGGAGGCATCCAACCCTGACCCAGAAGCAGGCGAACAGGCAGAGGAGGCTTCTTGGAGGTGTGATGGCTCAGAGGTAGAGTTAGCTAAGAGGAGGGTGCTAGGCAGGGAGTACACAGTGAGAGCAGAGGCGAGAAAGGCATTGGCGCTGAGTGGAAGGGAGAGAGGGCCAGTGGACCAGTGTTGCAAGAGTGTCTAGCTGTGTAATCTCCACTTGTAGGTCAAGGACAATAAAGAGCCCTTGAAGGGCTTTAAGTGGGAGAACAAGGGCAAACACAGGTGTTGGACGGAGTGTAAAAGGGTTATAAGGGTCCCAAAAGAAGCCAGCAGGAGAGGAAGCTGGGCGGGCATCCAGATGAGAGAAGGCAGAGTAAAGGATCCCAAAGATAATGAGGAGGTGGAATCAACAGGAGCTTGAGGGAGGTGGGCGTTGAAGAGACTCCCAGAATTCTGACTGGGAAGGCCATGGTTGCTAAGTCCATGGGAGGCAGCTGGACCTTCTGGGCAGGGGCACCAGGCAGAAGGGGGAACTTCCCAGTGTAGAGCACACCCCTCCACCCAATAGGGAAGGGTTAGGTTTTGTGCCCACTTCACAGACGAGCAAACTAAGGCCATTACACCGTTAGTGAGGAGCTAAACAAGGGCTGAAGCCCAGGCAGAAGGGAGGGAGAAGTGGATCAGCGGCACCTCCCCCGCAGGTGGTTGGCTCTCTCCAGGACTTGGAAGGATGAGAAGGAGATGGGGACAGGGTCAGTCCTGGTGGGGATGACCAGGCAAAGGGTTGGAGCATGGAACCTGAATACTTGGGGGAAAGAAGCCAGATCAAGTGGTCTTGGGGGTCCCACTTTCCAGACCAGAGAGGAGAGGAATTGGTCCTGCGTGGGGAAAGAGTGGGGGATATGCTGTGTGCCCTTGAGCCAGTGGATGCTCCTCTCTGGGCCTTGGGATGGCACAAAAGCCCAACCAGGTGGACCCTTGGAGAAGGAAGGAGAGATCCTTGTCAACTTTGAAGGAGAGGGGGAGGAGAGTCGCCCAGCTGGGAAGGGACATCCCCGTCTTGCTTCCAAGTTGTCCAGGCCTATCTGTACTCTGCGGACGCCTTTTCCAGGCAGCTTCAGGGACCCCCGCGGCCTCCCTCCCGACCCGGGCCGGCCTCGGAGGTTTCCCGCCTAGTCTGACCCGGGCCCCGAGCCTTGCCTCCGCGCACCACGCCCCAGAGTTGGTCGAATGAATGAGCAGGGATGGCGAGCGTGGCCCGGGCGGGGAGCCGGGGAGCCGGGGGCCGGGAAGCGTGGAGGGGGCGCGCGCCCGGGGAGCCCGCGGGCAGGGCCGAAGGCGCAGGCCCAGGGCCACGACCACTGTCGGCTCCGCCCTCACCTGCGGGTCAGGGCCCGACGTGCGCCCCACGCGGTGCCTGGGCCGAGCCCCTCCCGCCTGTACGGGTCCCCGCGCCCCACGCGCCGCATAGAGAGGGGAGGGGGCTGGGCCCGGGGCTGCAGGCTACAAACAAAGGAATCCCCTCCTCCTCCCAGCCCCGGCCCCCTCCTCCCTCCCGGGCACTCCCCACCCCTGCTCTCCGGTTCCTCGCCCGCCGCGGGGCCCGCGCTTCCCCTACCTGCGTGCCGGCACGCGTGGCGGCGGGCACCGCGAGCGGATGCGCGGGGCTTCACCGCGTCAGGGACCCTGGGCGGGAAAACAAAGCCGAGAGGCCGACCCCGCCGCGTTCCCAGCCCAGAGCTACCACCCGGGGGGAGTTGGGAACGGGAGGAGTTGGGGGAAGGCGCGTTTGCACCTCAAAGCTCTCTGGGCGGGGGCCCGGGGCTCCGATCCGAGCTCGGGGAGGGGCTGGAGCTGGGGGAGGGCCTGGGGTTCCAGAGGAAACTCCGAGGGGCTGGAGAAATGGGAGGGAGCACAGATCCTGGGCGGGGGCTGAGTCGTGGGGTGGGGGCTCCGGACGCGTGGAGCGGGGCGCTGCGGGGACCGCGTTTTCGGAGAAAAGTTGAGTTAGAGATGGCCCTGAGGTGGGGCTCCGATTTGGGGTGGCCTGGAAGAGAGCCAAGCCAGGAGGTCCTGGGACTCACCTAGGAGGTCCTCCTACATCCTCCCAAGCTGCCTCCTCCTCCCACTGGCCAGGAGAATTCCAAGGGTGATGTAGGAAACGCACCTGGACCTGGGGCCTGGATTTAAGATCCAAAGGCCCCTTAAAATGTAGGCAAAATGTTGGGCAAAGATACATTTCCTGGGGAAAAGGTCCATATTTTTGCATCTGATTCTCAAAATTAAGTTTAGGAATCCAAAAAGTTTAAACTTTCTTAGCCTCCGTTTTTCCACCTGTCGAAGGGGCCAGACTTCAGAATTGCAGCTATCTATCTGGAGACTACATCCCAAGCAAAAATGTCTAGCTTTCCCAACCAGTTTCCCACCTTTGAGAACAGACACCACCAGTGACCCTAAACATGGGGACCCATCAGAAGCTGTTTGTTGGAATTGAATCTGTTATTCCACTGAGCAAACTCCTATGCATCATGCATCTGGCAAAGCCCAGTTCAAAAATCCCCTCCCCACCTCCAAATTGTTAGTTTACCCTATTGAATTCCCGAAGCTGATTGTGCTGATCATGACTTCATCACAGCATTTCTGGAATGTACTAAATAAATAGTAAATAATAATCTGAGCTAATATTTATTGGGTGCTTATGTGCCACACTTGGTGCTAAGTGTTTTGCACACATTATCTTATTTAATCCAAAAAACAAAAATCGCTGGGGCCAGCCGAGTGGCTCAGTTGGTTAAGAGCTCGCTCAAGAGTTTGAACTCTGAACAACAGCGGTTCGATTCCCAGCCTGAGCTGAGCAGCCGCTGAGCTGCCAACAGGTGGCAGGATGTCTCAGCTTAAAAAAAAAAATCGCTATGAGGGAGATACTCTATTATAATCTCCCAATGTGGGTCCCAGGAGACAGACCTGGACCCTGACATTCCTAGGCTAGAAAGAGGGACCTCAGGAGGCAGATAGGAAAGGAGCACTCTGCCTAGGGATGGGAGCCTTGGAGGCTCAGGAGAAGAAAGAAAATCAGAAAAGGGAGGGAAGGACAAGAGGAAGAAAGAACACAGGCAAAGGCCTGCAGACAAGAAAGTTTGGAACATGTGGGAACTGAGTAAGGCTGGAGCCTTGGGGAAGGGGAGAAAAGAAAGGGAGGCTGGAAGGATGAGCAGAAGCCAGGAGCACCCAAGAGCCTTCAGTAGGTGCCCCCCACCTCTGAGGGGTGCCATGGTGGGCTATGAAGAAAGGGAGTCACGCCAGAGGCTGCACTGTGGGGTCTACATCTGGGTCTGGGGAGCAGACCCCATTGTCTACAACAATCTTTTTGTTATAAACAATGTCAAACATACACAAAAGTAGACAGAATATATAGACAGTGCGGTGAACCTCTTTGGATCCCTCATTCAGCTTTAATAATTATGAATGTACCATCACTCTTGTCACTTCCCCTCCAACCAGCCTGTCTGCAGGCCTGGGCTGGGGGAGCACAAAGCAGAGAGAACCTTTAGGGACAAGATTCAGGGCATCGTGGCCAAAGGAGGTTCCTGGAGCTTGTGAGCAGGTTCGGGAGGGGTGCTAGGGCGTGGGGAGGGTGTGCCAGGGAAGGAACCCTAGGATCAAGTTAGAACAGCAGTGACAGAGCTGTGGCATTCCAGTGTGGGAAGGCCCAGGGGCTATTGCGGATGGGCCAGCTTCTGGGGACACCTTTGTCACCCCTTCCCAGGCTCCTTTGACAAGGTTCTCCTTGGTCTGTTCTTTAGCCAACAAATGTCTTCCACCCACAGGCACTGGGAGAGGCACCTGGCAGCCCAGAAGCAGCCCAGCATATGTGCAGGAGGTGGGGAGGGTCAGTCCCACACCAGGGACATGGCAGGACCGGGGCTGTGATGGCTAAGCCCAGAGGAAGGGTGGAGGGTCGGGCAGTGATTCCGTTCTAGAATTATCCCTGCCTGCTCTGTGGAAGTGAGTAGAGAAAGACTCTATAGTGCATGGCAAGGAGGTGTGGTGCTCTTGGAAATCCCTGCACACAGAAGTTCTCAATGACAGCAGCGTTTCTTGTCATTACACCCCCACTACTGTCATTCCATCTCGCCTTTCATGGGCACCACTACCTGTCCATCACTGATGTGGTCACACTGGAAAGTTACCTATGTGGTTACTCCATTACATCACCTGTCGTGAAGGGACGGTTAGAATCTCACCCCTCAGCATCCCGGTGCCACCTCAGAACTGTCACAAGGACTGAGCATGTCACACAGCCTCCCCATCAATATTGCATTGCCACCAAGTTCCTATGGCAGGGTACCCATCACTGTCACCCTCTCATTGCCACCCATTAACAGAACACCTTGCTGTTTTCTGGTTATTCCACTGTCTGTGACATTCATGTTGTCTCCTGTCACCTTTATACCTTGTTGCTGTGACACTGTCACCCATTACCAATTGTACACCACCCAGGGCATCAGGGTTCTTAAACTACAAGCAACAGAAAGAGCACGTGGTTGCGTGCAGATTCCCCAGGAGGCTGGAGACCCAACTTGGGGTTCTTCAGCCAACTGAGTCACCCCCAAATCGCCCGCATATCTGGACCCACCAAGATGTCTTCCATTCCCTCTCTACTCCTCGGGCTCAGAGGATGCTTGATGATCCCGGATACTAGAAACTAGAGGCACCCTCAGCAAAATTGAGTCCCAGGAACCTCACTTTCTGATGCCAGCCTCTGTCAAACTTCCTGGCAGAGGCACCTGGCTTTCCCCTTGCTGTGAGGGGGCTGGGAAAACAGGTGTCTTGAGGTTCTGTCA